AGTGTGAAAGACTCGAGTGATCGTTTTTAAATGGCGCGAGCTCCGCGGCGACGTATCGGTGTGCTCGAGATTGATTAAACTTCAGGGATGCGTTTCGGGCGACCGCCGAGTTTGCGCGTGTGAATTCGAACATTCGAAAGAGTGAGTGAGTGCGTTGATGGGAAAGTTTGAGAGTATAACGTGGGAAGTTTCGGGAAACTAGGGGTGCAGTTAATGGTTCCCTGGGAGGAACAGGTGTATAGATAATATACATATGTATAAGGACCTTATGTTCTGAAATTATTTCATAACTCTGTATACATGTATCGACTATCAATGCAGGGGAACGATATAATTTCTTCTGTTGATAAATGCTTTCTTTTTTGTACTAGACACGAAACTGAAAATAGTGATCTTTAATATTAGAAGATCAGAAAAATAATAATCGACAATCTGCTGTTTGAAACATTAAACACAAATAATATTATATTGAAAAATACAGTAACATTATGTTGAAAATGTAATCAATTGCAATATTTTTTGGAATATGCCTGTACAGCGATAATTATGTTCTAAATAATATCTTTTGTGAAATTGTTCCATTATTCGTTTAAAGAAAGATTATTTGTCTACTTTAGAGTTCTGTGCTGTCATGGAGGATGTACCCTCATAATAGCTCTTAAGTTCCATCGAGATTGTAGAGGATATATCCACTGTCGGAAATAACAAACTCTAAGACACAGAACTTTGAAAAATCTTAAATCTGTCCTGCTCAAAACAAGCCCCGCGCTTTTTACTAAAATTTTCATCAACGTTAAACGTCCCCCCAGACATCTCCTCTTCAGGGATAATAAAAACTTTCTGGACTAAAACAAGGATTCTGACCTCTGGCGCTAAATCATACTCCCGAGAGAAAGGAAGAAAAATACAACCGAGTTTACACAATGATAGTCTACGTTCAATAAAAAAAAAAATAAACTTTTCGTCAATCTCTTAGATTTAGAGACAATACACTTAACTGAAAACTATAAGGTGCAAATAAAACAAAATTAAGAACAATTAATCACGGATGGGTGATAAAAGTCAAAGTGACAGGCAATAGTGAAAGGCAATAAAAAAATGAGTTATATCATGTACAAGAACTTTATAATGTAAATTAGTGTACATAATTATGGTAAAAGTAAAAAGGTAGCCAAACGGCAACGAATGAAAGATGTCAGTAAACGCTTTTAAAATGATACAATGATCTCGTGAATTATTTATACCACCCAATATTGACAGAAATACAAAAAATATTCTATTCATAATTGTTAAAGAATTTCGCAATGAAAGGGTTTCTATCTTTTATTTAACACAAACGTGCTTATCGTAGTTTTGATGGTTCCAATTACCGTTTTTCACGGGCCATTTGTTACATGTCATATAACATAGACAAAATTACAAAAAGAAATATTTCTTTCACTAGTTCTTAAATAATTTTCCAATAAAAGAATTAATATTCTCTGTTTAGTACAAGTAAAAATCTAGTTCACTACAAACCATAAGACAATTTCAATGGTTCCAGTTACCATTTCTCACGGGTAATTTCATTGAAATTGTCATGAACAAAAATACAAAAATAAATACTTCTTCCACTAGTTTTTTAATAATTTTCTAATGAAGGGTTTAATATTCCCTGTTTAGAGCAAACAAAAACCTTGTCCACTACAAACCATAAGACAACTCCGATGGTTCCAATTACCATTTCTCGCTGGTCGCGCCAGCCGGTTCTCCGATTCCCAACGGAAACTGAGGGTAGCTACCTCGGAAGTGGCACGATAAAGCAACGGGCGTCGGGCAATTTTCGCGCGGGTGCCATCCCAAAGACTGTTCCTGCAGCGGCCCGCGTAGAAAAGAAGAAACAAGGGTGGCCGCGTTTCGGCTGTAACCGGCTTGTAACGGGCAATTGCCCGCTCGTATTGTATCGGAACCGTTTGAGGGCGGTGGCCAGGGGGGCGTTAAACAGCGGAATCGCGAGGGGGGTTGCCGCGTGCCAAGAGCGTTGTCTTTTATTGCGCTCGGGGATCGGGTCGAGCGTTATGGCGCCGTGAATCACAGGAACAGGGGCGTGGGGTGCATTCGGTAAATGACGAATGGAAAGGGCACAATAATGGGGGCTCGTTATCTGAGTTACCAGTGAATTTTCAAACTCGAAAATGCGATCGGAACTCTCCCGATCGAGCGTCCCGCCGATCGTTCGCCAGGGATTCGCCACCACCGCGGAATGGACGATCCAATTGGACAAAGTTTGATCGTTATTGGTACGATGTCTGAGGTTTATGGTAGACCACGGGTGTCATGCTCCTGGAGATTTGGTTTTATTTATATTCAAAGAGTTTTTATAAACTTGTATCATCGCCATAGTAATAGATATAAATCTTTGGACACGTAGAAACTTTCAATAAAGCATTTTTGGACATAAGTTTATATGAACTCAGTAACTTTTATTAACAGGTAACATAAATTTTACCTGACCACGTGTGTTGGTTTCGTTGTTCATGTGTCGATCAGAATTCTTTTAACACAGGTGAGTACTGTTTTGAAGGTCCTTCTATGTAGGTGGTGGCATTAGATTGTTTCTATGTCTTTTTTAAAATAAAGTTTTCGACTAGAATTTTGTTGTCATAGTACACAGCGTCGCATGAACGATTTTGTGTCGTGAGATATTTCGTACATAGCATCGCATGAAAGACATTGCGTTGCAAGATATCTCGTCCAAAGCATATTATGAACGAAATCACGTGGCGAGATATCTCGTCCTCCGATGCGAAGGGGTTAAGAGGTGGTGAAGTTTGAGGAAGTCGTGGGAGTAATGTGACACAAATTGCGATTGTATAACTGTAATTGTGTTATATCACTAGTAATTATGAATTAGGAATGCCACAAGTAATAGTACCAGTAACTTGTATCCAGTTTGATAAACAGTACAAGGACTTTTAGATGAGTAGATTGAAAATGCTTATGCAAATTTAGCGTTGTATGAGTTAATTCATGGAACTACAGATTAAAGAGAACCTCAATAGGTGTATCAATAGGTAACTCACTATATTCTATCAAATTTAATATTTAAAAGAGAGGGGTTGACGATATTTAAAGAAACTATTAGCGGGTAATAAGCGTTCTTGCATTTTAGCTAAATGGAGAATAACGCAAAATTCACTGAAATGTAAAAATTGCAAATTGTGCAAGTGGTATCACAAAATATGAAAGTTTACGTATCCAGTATGGTATTCATTTTAATGAAATATTCCACAATTTGTCCTTTAATATAAAAAGTTTCGTTTCCGAGTTTAAACCTTTTTTTGTTCCGTAGAATTTCCATTCGTCACTTAATTATAATTGATTTACTAAATATTTCTACTTCGAATTAAATTTATGAATTCAGTTTCCCTTTGTTTATTTCGGAGAAGATCAGGAAAGAAGTTTCATTTTCGACGCGTGCAAATATATACTTGTTGTACAGAGAAATCAGAGCAGAAACGTTGTACCAGGTCAACTTTAAGCTTCTAAACTCCAGGACTCCGAACTTTGAACTATTCGAATTATTAAAGTGGCACTCCCGAACTATTATAACTTTGAATTAAACAAGTTCCCAAAGTAAACTCTCTCACATCAGTTTCCCGTAGAAATTTTATGAAAGAAACACGTGTATAGAAGAGTACTACTAATATCGCAAATAAATTTTACGAAGAAATCAATTTTTAGAAATAAAATGAATAAAAGGGGAAGTTTCTTTGATGTCGATAAATCTGACGCGAGAAGAATTACACGGCCCGTCAAGCACGTTTAACACCGCAACGAACGACGCCAGCGACATTAAAAGAACTATTAGATCAAGCTGGAGCGACGAGAGATTTTTGCAGTATTTGGCAGCGAGCCTCCTTTAACCATAATCGGACTTCGGTGTCGATGTCTGGTCGATATGACCCAGTTAACGAGTTAGCAGTGTCTCGTAGGAGTGAATAAAGTGTTTCCTATAGTATAATGCTGGTTGAGATGGATCACGTTTTTAAAAACGTGTGAAACGTAAATTATTTTAAAAGTACTGAATACTATACTTGCCACTTTGTATAGTGAATTATATTTTCTAGAATATGTAGTTGCGGAAAACACAATTTCTTTATAAATAGCTACGGAAGTAAGTAAATTAAATTTTGGGTTGGGGTCCATCTCTCCCTTAATAGATATTATGGACAACATGAACCACTTCAATAAAAGTTATATTCTTTCATTAAATTGATTTGTAGCAATCATTTGTATTGCAAAAATTGTTTTATTAACACATTGACTGCCACAGTGAAACAGGACGTACGTAGCCAGACACACTTTATTTCGTTTTTAAGTCATAAATAGTCGAAAATATATACGTTCGGTTAATAGTGGCTGTTGGTCTTGTTGTAAATTATACTGCGATATTAATTTTATGCAAAAATTTCTAACGGTATTTAAATAATCCAGCTTCTTTCCATTGTACGTGTCACTTATATTTGAGTGACGTGGTAGTTTTACCGCATTTGTGGTAAACAAAAAAAATGTAATTACTAAACATTTATAAACGGTGTAAACATCTCAAACAACAGAGTGATAGTAAGCCTTACGTCTATATAGAAATGTAGTACCCTTTTCAGAAACTAAAATGTTGATTTTCGTCAAAACTTTATAGAATCACGATGTACAATTCAAAGACACACTCGTCTACAATAACTATAACAAAATAACAGTATCACATTGCCCAATTGACGGATAGTTTGAGTGTTTGTATGTTTACTCGCGGTTTGTTGTGCCCTTTTATGTTTCATCGCGCTTACTCGTGCCCACCATTTATATCCATCTGTGCCTATTCGTGCTCGTTTATGGTCATTTGAGTTTGTTCGTATTGGTTCATCTTAATTCGTGCTTGTTTATCTTTAGTCATGTTTGTTCGTACTAGTTTACGTTTATTCCTGTTGAATGAAAAATTTGTTAAAAACAAAGGTACTTACGTCTCCTTTTTCAGGAACGTATTTAGCCAGCCAGCCCCATAGGACACCGAATCCAAGACCTCCGATGATAGCAATTGGACCCTGCAGGATTTGATACCATAGGGCGTCATGGGAGAACATGATACTCTTCACGATTCCATGGATCGCGACCGACGCCGCATCATCGATTCCAGAAACAGCAATGATCAAGGTCGGAATTCCCTGTAAACACATCAGACACGATTAAATAAATAACTCGATTAAATTTTAACATGGCAACTACATGTACATATTTTGAATGACAATATTTAACTGATAACCAGTATAATGATAATCGAGTATTGAATGGACATTTCTAAACGACAAACATTAAATGTCGAGTGACTATATCGTATCAGAATTAAATGTTTAAGAACAAATAAATGTTAAATAAGTTGGAGGGTGATATCATATGCTACGTAATATCATTGTCATATAACGTTATGTTGTTGATACAATGAACCGATATGATAGGCGGGTATAATGTTACTGTTTGAATAGTTCCTTCAATATTCCATCAAATAATAATTGTAATTTATAATGCAATAGAAAAAATATATTAACGCAACATCATGTTCGCAACACTGGATAGTTCGAAATATGATTTCATACTCCCAGCAAAACCATTTTAGAATCAAATATTAAAGATGAGAAATTTGCAAATCGAATAATTATTCTCTTAATTGAATTCCCTAATTTATTTCGTTAATCGTTTGCGAATGAAAGTAGGTCGATTTTAACGCATGTTGTAGTTCTCATATCTCGTTAAGATACATAACTAGCTATAGTTTTATGCAATTCTGTGAATAAGGCGTCATATTTAAATTTCGCGAATACAGATTTCTCTCCTTCCGACTGGTAATTAGAAGTACTTTTAAAAAACTATTATTGAAAACTGTAATTAATGTTTTAAGACGAAAATCAATAAAACATGTTGATTCTGTGTTCATAAAACAACATAACGGTGTTTAGAAATAATGCCACAAATTATTACAGAGCCTCGTTAAAGAAAGCTATCAGAATGTATAAAGGAAATACAGACTTTCCATAAATATCAAAATGTATAAATAATTATAGAGATTCTGGATCTTTATGATTTTACAGCTTACATAGATCTTAAAAAAAAAATAAAAAAGAAATCTTTGTTCTAAACTTACAAATATTATATCTCAAAAGCATATTTATTAACTTGCATTAAAATGCATTCGTAGGCTCATACGATCCTCCAATTACTTTGAACATTTCACTAACATCGAAAACAAAATTCTGCCGGAATTTCACATCCCCTAAATATAACCGCCTAAATGTACCCTAGTTTCTGCAGTCTGCCAGCCAGTAAAAAATTACCACAGAAGTAAAGAATTAACTACTAAACTAAAGGGATCCCTCTTCTTAGATTCGATTGTTCCTGAAATTTTTTCCGCCCGCGAATCGACGATTCCTTCCTCCACCACACTTCCACTCGCAACTTTCCTTATTTTCGAGCGGTCCACGGTAACGTCAACGATTCGCGGAAACCTCATTATCGAGCGCAATCAGTTTTCTCGGGGGCTACTTCGGAATCATCAAGGGAACCTTCACCCGGAACGTTTCGAGGCCAGTGAAAATAATCTGTCGGATGGAGGCCATCCGGTGGAATCGGAGGAAAGGAGAATTATCGAGGGAGTGGAGGGGGATAAGGGGGTGGGGCTAGATCTAAAACGAGACTGACCGACGACAGGGACGGGAACACCGATTCCTTGGTGTGCACACCGAAAAGCTATCAAGCCACGATAGCTCGTGCGGGATTTAAGTCTGCGGACTATCGTGATTCTCGACCAGTCGAATCAAACGGCAGGTACACGCTCGAGATAGAGCTCCCTTCGGCAAACGTTTCGAGCTGGTCAGCGATTCCTGGGACGCTGTTTAGCGCCCTGTATCGACGATCGTCCATTCTATCGGGCGGATCGCGGAAACCTTTTCTCGAATGCGTTTGCGTTTCTCGAAAAGTGTCATGATAGGCAGAAATATAATACTGGAAATATTTATTAAATCGAAATCTCAAGTATAGTACCCGGAATTTTTCATAACAATAGATTGTCTGACAATAAAGTTCTTGGACTGCTGCGATAAAAATTAACACATAGATTTTAGATAATAAACTGTTATATCAGGTAATCAGGAAAGTTTTCGTCGTTTCAAGATTATGTCATTGTCAAACTGTGCATTTAGACTAGAGTTTTTTGTACTTAAGTCAAATTCGATGATACCCTCGTTAAATTTTACTAAACATTTTATTATGTGGAATTTCAGATACATTCTACAACATAAGTTATACCCAATAATATCAATAAATTAAGTTTAGTCACATCTATGTCTGATGAATTATCGAAATTAATTTTTTTGAATATAAATCTTCCTACGAAAACATTTTCTTTCGTGTTTCTTCGTTTCAAATTTCATAGTAAAAATTGCTCTGTTCCCGGTTGCACTATGTATTATGATCGATCCTGTATAAAGGAAGAAAGAAGTCAAAGTGACACGCTCGAATAGTCACGAACGTCAATTCCTGACGCCGGTCCTGCAATCTTTAAACGCTCTTATATAAAGCCTGTCGAAGATATCTGCTGTCGGCACGGACTTAATAGATATTCAGATGGCACCCCTTTATTCGCAAGGCGTACCCTCAGCCTCTGGATGGCCTGCCAGTAACAGTTCTTATTGACAAATCGACGTATTCACAAAATTGTTCGCGTCGGCCAAAGAAATTTCCGTGAATGGCTGATTCAATAACGGCGTCTGACCATAACAGTCTGCGACTACTTACCGCAGATACAGCCATACAGTAGTGGACAAAAGTAGAACCACTGAACCATAAAAATTCTTCGAAAATCAATTGCTTTAGCATTTTCTGTGTTAAGTAACGTAGATTACGGATTTTATTAACATTATTAATACTAAAGGAACTAACGCTAAACACGTTGCCTGCCACAGTACAAAAGGCCGTGCATAGTTAGACACACTTTATTTCGTTTTAAAAGACTTATATTATAAGTCTCTTTTGTTTTAAATTATACTGCGATATTAATTTTACGCAAAAATTTTGTAAAATTGTTAAATAATCCAGCCTCTTTGCATTGTATGTGTCTCTCATATTTGGATGACGTGGCAGTCAAAGTGTTAAGAATATCCATTAATTAATACAGAAAATGCTAAAGAAATTAATCTCTCTACTTATTACGCTCAAGTTGTTATAATTTTGTCTGGTATTTTAGGCTCTGTGTGTAATGTAGAACTTCCTTCACGGTTTATCAGCGAATAATATTAGTGAATTTAGAAATTATATCCTGCAACTTGTAAAATTCTGTTGCAACATACAGGTTTTACAATTTTCTAGTATAAAGTTAAATCACTAATATTATTAGTACATACAAGTGTTCATTGCAGAATGATTTTTCAAGGTATACAAATTTTACTATTGACTAGACTACGGATGTTTATGCATATTTACAGTTTTGGAAAGTGACATATGAATAAAAACATTGAAAACATTTTTTTCCTATACCAGGAGTTCTAATATGTCAATAAGAATAAGAATTCAATGACTTTTCCAAGTCATGAAATTCGACATTTCATCCTAGAACTGTTAGTAAATTTATCAGTAAAGACACACAGAAGATTTCATCTTGAATGCAAGAATGGCGTGGAATCTCTGGTGGGAAATAAACTAGTGAAATTACCGTACCGAGTAAGCTTCCATCCAATTGCATTGCAACTACTAAATACATCATGGCTATAAAGTAATGAAGACGTATTATGTCACAAACTAATTGCAAGAAATCTACATCAAGCTCGAAAGCTTAATTACTGTACCTCATCAGTTACATACTCATGCTTAAACAAGTCCTGAAGAACCAACAATTTCTGTATGCAAGCATGCAATCTGTCCGAATAAGAATACTTTAACAATTAGTTCAACTACATTACACTTCTCATTCATTAGTATTCTATAATAAGGAGTAACGAATTCCTCGGAAACGTCCTCGATTTTGCCAATGAATAAAATACGGATGTTTATACAAATATAGAATTTTATGGATTTATTTCTTGTAATTGAACACAAGGAACAATTTATTTCGCCTGGTAAAGATTCTAGTAGATTTGCAATAAAAAGAAAATCTGAATAAACTTGCTAAAACTTTTTAGGATTAGATTTTATACAACTATGTTGGAAACAGTTCTCATAAAAAAGTTTGACAGGTTGACTCTTTAATTACCATGATCCATGTTGAAGGGGTGAAAATAGCCCTCGAAATTAGGGGTGTGTAATATATGTATTTCATCGAATATCTCGGAAACTGTTAGAGGTAGAAAAACAGTCTAAATGACAGTATTATTTGTTTTTTGATAAGGAATCCAGCCATATTATTGGATTTCCGTAGAATGTATTTGTTTAAGTAATACATTTAAAAAATAGTACCCTTTGTTAATTTCTCGGGTTAAATGATATTCTATTTCCTTGTACATTTTTATGTAGACACTATGTACCAAATATGAAAGACCGAGAAATTGGAATTTTAATTTTTGCACTACTAGAAAAGCTATTATATTGAAAGTTATTTTGCAATTTGTGCAAGACGGAGTACTTGAATGTGTATAATCAAACAGACTTAATACATTCACGGCTCAGTATTGTTTACAAAATCACCACGTTTTCGACCGTATTATAATTTTGGAACACCCTGTACATTATAATATGATTTCCTCGCTACTTTGGTTACACAGAGTTTACGTAATACCCGTTCTCTCATGGCGCAATCTTTCGACTTCGCAATTTATCACTTCCCGTAAACTTCTTTCGAAGGCTATTGGCTGAAGGGGTAAATGCACTGACTGCATCCTCAAGTTCACGTGACACAGCAAATAGACTCTTTACCTCACGGAAAACCCATTTTCCGATGGGGTCACACCATCTGGTGCACCGGCGTAGAATAGACCAGTCAATCTTCGAAAAATCAAAGCGCACTCCTCTGTACAACCTGCAACGAATTTCCGAACTAGATGGTTTCTACGAAGAGAAACTGTCCAGGTTAGAATCTCTCTATCGGGCTTAACTAACAATTCGTGCTTTTAGAATCTCTTAAACGCCTGGAACAATCGCGTTAAAACACAGAGTTCCGTTGATTTCTACGATTTGAAGGGTA